GTGGATTTTCGGCTATTATTTGCTAGTGTTAAAATATTATTGACCATAATTGAATCCTTCCTTATTTTGGGGGGTGGGGGGTTGTGACGGAGTGGTGAGGGTTGCGGAGGGGCTGCGCAGAAAGCCTCACGCAAATTAAAAAATTTTGTCAATGGCATGTACTGGCATAGCATCAATTTTGCTTCCAAAAATGCCACGTCATAGAACTTTCAGACTTTTTTTATATCTCAATAATATAGAGAGTGCCCTTTTATAGTCAGGTAAAAAAAAACTAAGAGAAGTTGTTTTGATTATTTTTTTTTTTTTTTTATTGATTATTTTGGATAAGGAACTAACGATTCTAAACAAAGCATCAGAAATAGTAGACAGTATATTAAGAGATGTATGTGATACTGAAAAATATTTCGAAAATAAATTAATTGTTTGAGGAGGTAATTGACCTACACATATAACTATATGTATATATAATACAATGGTTTTAAGTTAGGGGAAGTTCTAGCTCCTCTTACTTTCATTTTTCAGCTTCTCTATAAATCGCGTAGCTATCCGCTTATTTTTACGTGATTTTCAACAATACCTTTCCTGGGTTTAGATCCTTTCCATCTTCCCACCCTACTCCTCTCTTGTTCCTTTTTTATGCAATTTTGAATTTAACTTTTTCTGAAGCTAGCTGTTACGACATCTCATATAAATTACAAAATAAATTATGATTTAATTTAAATGCGTAAGATGTATGCAGTCTGCAGGTATGAATATATTCCTACATTACAAAGTTGTATCGTTTTAAGATGAGTTCAACCTCACTCTCCATTGTTTTTTACGCTATAAACTAATTATATAAATAGTTTTTTAGCAGGGTTGTCCACACACCCCCCGCCAAGTTTTTTGCTCTCTCTTTCCCCCTTCCTGCAACATGACGAAAAATTCCTCTATTTTCTCCTTTACTTGTATAAACTTTATTTGTTCTTGAGCCCCACCAATTCATCAACTAATTTTTAAAAGACCACCCGCATCTTTTTTACCGCTGCTTAACGCCCTTTCATTAACCAAGTTAAATTTTTTTTAGCTCTGCTAGATTCAAACAATAAAAAGTTTTACAACGACTTTCTTATTTTATTGAAGAAAAATAGGAACCAAACAAACTATTACACAATCTTATAATAACTGAGATAAATGGACTCTCTGTGAGAATTTGACTTCTCACATTTATATCATGTATTTATGATCAGCATTCACACACGTCATTATTTGACTTGATAATCCAACATCAAATAAAGATGCAGAGCGGTACGGGCTCTTAGTTACAAAAGTAGCCTTACATGCTCTTAAAAATTCGTTGAGTTTCTGAACAATTTTGTATAAATAAATACGTAAAAATAGCAATCACTAGAAGTTTCTTACCTGATACTCGATGTCTGATACACTGACAGGTGTAGAAGAAGCTAAATCAAGTTGTCTGCTTCTTTTACATTTTGGACTTAAGGACTGTTCTTGCCTTGCACCATCTACATTTTCATTTGAAGTCAATGCTGTTGAAGATGATTCTAATGTTCGTGTTCGTTTATTGCCAATTAGAGTGTGTGATGTACTGACTGGTTGCGTAGAACTACTAGGAACCGTTTGCTGTTGATCAGAAGATAAAGTTGGTTGCAGTGATTGTTGCTGCTGTTGTTCTACTCGTGGACTCACTAACGCAATGGTTTGTTGTGGACACTGCTGTTGCTGCTGTTGGGGGTTTATCGGTTCAATAATTTCTGATTCTTCTCGTTGAGTAGATTCAGCAGATTCGCTAAGCTGAGGTGGAACGGCAAGTTGTCTGCTTGTACTAGCTGGTTGATAATCTGTATGAGAGCTTGTAGGAGAGCTCGTTTCAGTAGTATGCACAATTTGTTGCTGTTGAGCTGCCAAAAGAAGAGGAGCTCCAGCTGTCGTAGGTAAAACGGCAGCTGTGCGAGATTGAACGACAACACTCATTGGACGAATACTTGCTAAAGGCGTTTCTGTACGTGCTGACATAGGTTTTATATTAGCAGTTGGAGGTTCATTTGTTCCAGCATTGTTGTTATTCTGACCAGATAATTGCCGTTGTAGTTGTACATTCCGTTGCAATAAAGCTTCTTTCTCAGTCTGAAGATCTAAACGTTCGTGTTCTAAACGTGATATGCGACTTTCCATTTGAGATTTTAATGCAGCAAGTCTGGCTTCATATTCGTTTTTGTTTGAATCACTCTCATTTGAACTTAAATCGAGTTTTTCCTTTAATTCGAGCATCTCTTTTTCGCAAAGCTTTTTGTATTCAGTAAGCTGCATTATTTTTGTTCGCGCATTTTTTAAAACAAGCTTTGCACGTTCTTCTTTTTCGAGACTAGTTTTATTAATTACTTCAATTTCTTTTTTAAGATTCTCAGATTCAGACTGTGTGATTAATATTTGTTGGTTTAATTCTTCTAATTTCATCGTTAATGTTTCATCTCGATCAAAACCAGTCTGCTCTTCCTCATTTGTGGGGTTTTTTTTATACGTTTGAATTGACTGAGTATTTTCTGTAGTTTTTTTATTTTCCTCCACAGTTTTTGTCAATTCTTCATATTGTGTTTTGTATTTCTTAGCAATTTTACGTATTTGAATTTCTTTGTTTTTCAAGTCGGACAATACCACATCTTTTGTAGCTAAATCTTTTTTAAGAATTGATATTTCCTTTACTTTTTCATTAAGTTCGTTGATATAATTATTAAGATCTTGATTCAGTTTTTTAGAACCTTCTGTCATTTGTGTTACTTGAGCTGCTTTTGTTACTAATTGATTTTCCACTTGTTTTAAATGCTCTTCTAATTTTATTTTTTCATTTTTTATAACATTTAATTCTTCATTACACTTAGCAAAAGTTTCTCTTTCCGAAGTCAGAAGTTTACTTAAATTTTCTCTTTCAGTTTGTAGTCTACGCCAATCTTCAGGACTAGCTTTATTTGCTCTTTCAACTAAAGCATTTGCTCTTTGGCGCCATCTTGTAGCTTCACTTTTTAAGCTATTATTTTCTTGTTGCAAGGTTTCAACTTTTGTTTCTAAATTACAAGTTTTTTCACGCAACGGGACTACTTCAGCCGTTAATACATTTAATTTACCACTGATCACTTTTACTTTTTCCATAAGAGCATCTCTTTCCTCGCGAAGGACTCTATTTGAGTCCGTAATAGCATTCAATGTTTCCACTTTTCTTAATAATTCAGAATGTTTTGTAACTGTCAGAACTCCTATCTCATTGTTTTCACGTTCACGATCTAAAGATATTTTCATTTCTTCAAAACGTTTATTTGAGAGCTCAACTTGAGACTTAAGTCTTATGTTCTCTGACTTTAGAACATCAAGTTTAGCAACAGTCAAATCTTTTTCTCGCCGTAAATACTTTATTATTAATAATAATTGTTCCACTGATCCAGTATTCTCATTGTTAAAACTTCGGTTTAGCGATTCAGAAGGATCTCTTCCATCAGTGTGATCAGTTATATTATCTTGTTGACTGGACATGATGACAGCTTTTTCACTGACTTCTTGTATTTGACTATGCAAAATTTCATTTTGCATGTTTAAATCTTCCACTCTGCTCTGCAATTCATTTATTTCATTTTTAAAACTTTTTTCTTGTTCTTGCCAGAAAGATTTTTTAACAAGCAAAGTTTCTTCAGCTAAATCTTTTTGTTGGGTAAGTTTTGATATTTTATTTATGACAACTTGATTTTCTTCTTTTAACTTAGTGAGAACTTGTAAATCATTTGAATGTAAAACCATTTCCCTTGCATATTTTTCTTCAGCACAAGCTGCAGCAGTACAAGCATTTTGTAACTCAGTTTTAAGTTGCTCTAGTTCATTCTTTATTCGAATAAATTCTTCAAGTTCTACTTCTGCTTCAGATAATTTTTGTTCTAACTTTAAATTATTTGTAGTCTCATTACTAGATGTTTGGGTAAGTTTATCTTCTAATTCTTTGTTTTTTTCTTTTAGAATACATAATTCTTTATTATTATTACTTAAAATATCTTCAAACTCCTTTGTTTTAATGTTATAATGATTCAGTGATTCTCTAAGCTGCATTTCAGAACTTTCTGCTATATCGCAATACTGTTGTCCTTGAAATCTTGCAGCTTTTAACTGATCAGACAAAGATTTTATTTCTGCTTGACTGTTTGATAAATCCATTTCGAGTTCTTTTAATTTTTTACTTAAATTGTCTTCTCCTGAAATGTACAAACACACATTAAAGTTTTATAACATGTTATTACAAATAATGTAGGATAACGAATATAAATAGTTTTGCATAAAAATAATAATAAGTATCTAATTAATAACTGTCTTTACGATTTTTTTCTTCTATAATATTTATTAGTATATAAAATACTATGTTTTTTTTCACAACATTATTAACTTCAAAAAATATAGTTTAAGCCCTTAGTCAAGTCTACGTTTAAATCACGAAAGGTACATTAATATTTTAAATTAAAAATTATAACAAAAATTATAAGTTACATTCACTTTCAAAATAAGAAATATAATCCTTAAATTATTAATACTTAGTAATTTTTCTAATTTCTCATGTAAAATTGTTCGTAATTACTTTTAAATATAAAAATATTAATGTACAACTTTTCAATTACTATTGTATTTGTCAATACAAAATAAGTATTTCGGTATTTTTTTTAAGTTCCTCATCTTAAGCACACTCGCAAATTATTTTTGACACTAAACTGACACTAAGATTTTTGGATTTTAGTGAAAAAATCAGGAAATATAGTTTTAACACTAAGAATGTACCTCTCATTTTTTACTAAAACATGGTACGTTTATTTTTTCTACTGCAAATCTCTAGATTAACTTTCCAAAATATCCCTTTATCAATTGGACTTAAGAACATATTTTAGGGTTAAGATTTTGTAAAAAAAACATTCGATTCAATTCAAAGCACTAGCAAAGAATCAAATATACGAAACGAGTTAATACAAAATTTTTACAAGCTTATTAGTAGACAATGAGCAACTAATACGAGCAAAGCACTTTTACAACAAAGTTTATTTAATTAACCACACTTGTTGTGATGCATAATTTTGAGCTTGATTTGTGACCCATGCAGAGATGTTGCTTTTTGAGTGACTTATTAAAATTTTTTACTGACACTTAAAAAAACTGTAAACGAAATAAGTATTGGGGGTATTTCTATCTTTCATTCCATTCGCCAATTTACTGGGTTTTATTGGAATTTAGAGGTAACTGCTCTTGATTCCAACCCATTTTGGAGTTTTTTTACTTTCCATGTTAGTCTGGATTGAGCCCTGGATAGCTTAGTACTAAATGTAATAGATAACGTACAACATGTAAACTAATAAAAGTAAATGAAAAGGTTTTTTAGTGTTTTTTAGTCAAACAAGCTAGACTTACTATTTTCGTCAAAAAGTATTAAAGCATTATAAAATGGTATTATTATTTTAAATTATGATTACTGAAGGCATTAACTATCATATTTCTAATCATACGCACCTTTACAGAGTTTAGGAGACGATTAACTTCTCGTAACCATTTTAAGATCAGAGGAACAGTCATTTAAAACTATTCTTTAAACCTTACTGAATTAAATTACTGACATTAAATGGAACCTGCGATTCTACCTTAATCTTAACAAAAGGATGAAAAAATAAACGTAATGATAACTACATCCATTGAATTAATTTAACTCTCTCTGGAAAAATTCTTTTCTATAACCAGACAATCGGTGTGATTTGATTCTTACGATATTTTTGGCTACAATGAAATCAATTATTTATAAAAAAAAAACCAAAAAAACTGATATATGAAGTTGACAGTCTTTTCAGAAACAATAATGTTTAAATGAAAAGACACTTTTGTAATTTTCCCTGATTATTGTTATAATTATAGAAGAAAATTTATTCATAAAAAAAAAAAGTCATTATGAACCGTCATTATAAACAGAAAAGTAAAATCAAGGTAGTTATAGAATCAGTGCTGAAAAAATTGAAGCAGTAAAAGACAGCCTGAGAATAAAATAAGATAGATTTAAGATTACTAAAAGGAAATATTATAGAGAGTGTTAAAAAAGCAGAGAAAGTCTCATTAGACTCTAAGGCTAAACCGAATATTAGAGAGGTTCACAGAAGTTAGTAGCAAGGTAGGAAATGACGAGATGTTACTGACAACGGACAGTAAGGATAGAAGGTTATACAGTAGCTTAGCATCTGCAATGACCACCAGCGGCGCAATAAAACAGATACCAGGAGCAAGTTGCGTAGTAGATATCAATTTGAAGGTTAGCAAAATGGCCAAACGATCAAATAAGGTGGATAAAAATTAATAAAACGATTATTACATATCTACATAAACTGCAGGCTTGTTTGAAAAGAGAATTTCAATAAAAAGCAAAAAGTTCAAAGAGTTGAAAAAAAAGTAAATAGTTGTAAGTTACAAGAAGTTTTTCTAGAGAATGAGATCCAAGTTAAAAGGAAAAAAAAATTGGAGAGTAATAATGTATGAATCGTACGGTAAGATTGAGAAAGGTGTACAAATAAAATGCAGTTTGAGTAGCAATAAGTAGGCAGTAAGATGATTTAACGATTGAGAAAAATGCAAAGGAAGAACAGGTTAGTTTCTAGGAGACAACATGAAACAAGCAATCAGAATGAGTCAAAACGACAGGAACAAAATAAAAGTTTCATTAGAAAGTCGTTGGATTTCATTAAAAAATCGATAAATAAAAAAGAATTCCGAGTCAAAGCCAGAAGTCTCTTTATTAAAAAATTTCAGAGTGGAAATAGGGTGCAGTAAACTGCTCGAGGCAGTAACAATAAATGCAGCAATGAGATACTTTGATTTCAAAAAGAAAGAAGTTTGTATTTTTGAAACTAAGCAGATAAAATCTTTTACAACTTTATTAAAAAATATCATTTTACCCTTTCATGCACAACATGATTCGGAGAAAAAAATTAAATGCAATGAGATTAAGATTTGATGATTGTTTTATCTGGAAACTAATAGTGGTAGTGAAAAAGAGCTGAAAAATGGATTTCTGTAGTAGTAAGAAAGAACTCGTTTAAGGAAGTTGCCTACTTATTGAAGATAATCACAGAAGTTGATAAAAATCAAGTATATGAATATGAAGAGCGTCTTGAATATGCACGTTTCTTTTAAACATACGTTATAATACTAATTATTGAGAAATGTGACAGTAAAATGCAATGGTTAACACGTACTCTTATGGGACAGCTGTAAATTTTTGATTGAAAATTGTGATTGAAAACACACAGGACAACAAAATTTGAGATGTAGAGAGAATGAAGTGTGAGAAACAATTGTGCAAAGTTTTAACTATTGTTATAATTGATATTACGGAAATATTTGTGACAGAATAATAAAAATAACGTGTATCAAAAACATGTAGCAACGTTGCATCTACAGCCAGCAGAAGCTACAACCCGGAGCTATAGTGTCACTTGGCGGTATTTTAACAAAGTCAAAGGGAGTGTCTGATTCCAAGAAGTATCTACTTTTCGAAATATATCTACCTTTTCAGTGATATTTTTGTTTAGGCGTCGTAAAAACATAAACACATCACATGTATGTTCATATATGTAAGTAAAATAGAATAAACATGTTAATTTGAATCATGTTACGGACTATACACATCTAATATTGTAGACATCTAAAATTTTTAGTAACCAGAATGCTAGTATCACTTCGAGAATAATGCTCGTACTAAAAACTGACTCACTTCATTAATCATCAGAAAGTAGCCTTGAAGAAAGACAGAGAGAGAGGAAAATCAAGTCATTATAAAAAATCGTATACGCAGGAGTGAATATACGCTCTGCCTCTCGTTGCTAAGGAAGTAAGAATTATAGCCTTTAAATATTTCATTAAGTCCCCCAACGCTTCGTCCAATTTTCGAGAGCATCCTTCAGCAATACGCGTATCTGTATTAGCTTTGCTCTATTACACGCTCACGATATGATGGCCATATAAGCACTTGTATACAAGGCAGATGCTGTTTATCAGGAGGGCTAATTTATGAAGCAAACATTTGAGGAAGTGGAGATTCGCTTTGAAGAGCTTTTTTGACGTGACGCTGATTACATTACGGTTAACTATCCTCCGTGTGAACCAACTCGAAATTGGATGGATAAAAAAACGATAGCCTCGGGATTATTTAATTAGTATGAAAAAAGAGTTCAATGGCCATCTTTAAGCTTAATGGTTCACAAGAGTCATCGTCACGTCAGATACCCAATATGCATCCTATTATCAAAATCCAAAGCTCAACTCACTCAAGATATTACGAACTTTTGTCGCAACAGTAGTTCAAATGTGCGGAGAGAGAACAGAATCGTAAATTTAATATAATACGCCCCGTAACCTTTACATAAAAATACTGACGCCAACTCGACAGCACAACAGTTTCCAGCTCAGTGCGTATGTGTTAAACTTCATCAAATTGTGTAAGATGGAGAGTTACACATAATATTACTCAAGTTAAGTTCCATAGTTGATATCATGATGTCATGATGGCTCCTATTTGTGAATTGATGTTTCAAGTTTTCACCTTTGTTAACAATATTAACTCTAAGCCTCCATTACCGTCTTAACTATTTTCCATTCTATAGCTGCTGTAATAAATTGAATATTCAACTCATAAACCATAAATTGCACGCATTAAATTAGAAAACCAAAAAATCTAGCTCAATAAGTATTTTTAACTCAGGACAAGCGACATAGAAAAAAAAAAAAATTAAAAAATTAAAAAAAGGAGTAACCCATCATAGTGAGATTACATCGAGAAAACACTTTGAATCCCCACGAAGTATATGTTTTGTTAACTTTTGTGAGATTTGAGTCAGGTATTAATTTTTTACCTCATCTTTACCCTAGCTCTTCATCTAAAATGCATGAAACCCACCATACGGTGAATGGTATAGCACGTCAAAGTGTTCAGGTATAATGTATTTTTCTAATTATTGTTCATATATGTAAAAACTATTAGTAAAAATGAATTAAAAAAGACAACCTAGCAAAAGTTTAAAAAAAATTTATAAATTATAACAACATTTACAATTTAAACAAACATGATAAACACGGAACTGTTATTAACTATTGTTTTGAAAAATCATCGCAATCATTTTTTTCAATTCGTGTTAAAGTATATTCCATCAAACAAAAATAGTTGTTAGAGACGTTATGA